AGCAGGTATGTTTAACATCCTGCCGGTCTTAGTATAGCGTGTTAGCATGCTAATATTTCCTAATCAGAAATAAATAAAACATACAGCTGAGGCAGATGAAAACAGTATTTTGCAAGTATTTAATCACAAACCAAAGTAACGAATGAATTAAAATTTTGTCCCAGTAATGGTGATAAATTAAAAGTCAGGGTATGGGGACAGGTATGACCAGTGATCAAAGTTAACGACAATCCATCCGATATCCACTGAGTCATTTCCATGACAACATCACAGTAGCAATAAAGGCAAAGCTGGTGGGTCGCCAAAGGCATAAGGACTCATCACTTGGGGATGAAAATGCCTGTACAAAATAGTGTGTCAATCCATTTAATCTGTCCCCAAAAGTATACATTTAAGTGTGCAGTTGGCAAAAGTTTAGTGATGTGTTAACATCAAGACTGCTTATATTCAATTCATCATCCAGACATGTCTGTATTTTTATGATTGATGATCAACCTGAGCTACTGATTACATTTTCAAATAAATGATCTTGCATTTATTTGTTATTTCACTCTATTACACTTAATCAAATACCATAGCCATGTAATTTGTAATGAGAGGAAACAAAATACCTACATTATTCCTTCTCAAATTCTAAATGTTTAATATTTAAAGCGCCACATAAGCTGGCAAATGTGATTTAGCTAAAATTGGATTAAGATGTATCAGGATTAAAAATCTGTCAGTACTGTCTACTAAGCACTTTTTGGTCCTGAGCTGGTGATGGGGATGTGTTTGCATAATAGTGTGATAAGCATTTGGAACTGAATGAGCAACTTGGCGTTCAGCTCATGTAAATGAATGAGCTAATCTTCTGCAGTTTTATAGATTTTGAGCCTGTGCTGATTAACATCTTATAAACCTGGCGGTATGTTTAGCGCTGTTTAGTTGCATGCTTCACAACATATTATACTAGGTATTCAGAGATCATGTGATATTCTACCTTCTCTCCTGGAGGTCCAATGGCTCCCTGAGGTCCTGGGAGACCCTGTGGAGAGGATACAAAATGCTAAGAACATTGTATTTGATGGAGAAGAGAAAAATCTAATGTCAGACAACCTGTTCACTGCTGACCTGGGCACCTGGATTGCCTTGCTGTCCAGGAGGTCCTGGCTCTCCTTGCGGACCCTGAAAATAATTTGGTTATTTTTAGAAATATCATTATAAATACAAAGACCGATTACTTTATGTACTTGAATAAAACATCCTGTGTGAAGGTAATGATTTATTGCTTCATATGGTCCATTAAAAAAAGAGATGTTGCTTTAAACAGGTTTACTAAATTAGAAGCTGTCCAACAGTGCAGCACTGCATTATTACACTCTTATGCTGTACCTAAACAGCCATAACTTTTAGATAAACTACATAATATCTTGCATTGGCTCAAGGTAGAAGACACAAACGCACACAAACACAGCGCACATTCTCATCTACTTTCCTAATGAAAGAAACTGCTGGACCAGAAACACAAAACACCTTCCATCTCAGATAACCGGCAATCAATTATGTTTCCCTGCTCCAGGAGTGTGGGAAAGCAGCTGATCTTCCATCCCTACCTTGATGGAACAAAAGAATAGACAAGCTACTCTAGCCAGGTGTTCTCTCATTATAGCCAAGCACGGCCAGAAATTGACCTGGAATGATACAACTAGTGGACTGCTCAAATGGATCTAAACACATCCGGTCTATTTTTCATTATCCGCTAAGTATCCTCTGAATGCACTGTTGTGTGTGTGTTGTGGTTTTTGATTTTATCTTGGAAATGAGGAGTCTAATTTTGAATATTAGCAGTTTAATCATCCAGCTTCACTTACAATGTTTCCTTTTGGACCAGGGTGGCCATCTGCTCCAGTAACACCCTATAGCAGAAGAGATGAATATATAACATTTAGCACATGAAGGACACACATACGTAGACCTAACAATCTGTAATACACTTAAACCATGTTAAATTAAGTCTGTTAAAACAATATAATCATTAGACTGAAGTTTTACTCTGCAACAATCATTTGTCTACAGCAGAGGACGTGTACTCAATAACGTGCTAGTCTTGCATTTTCTCTGAGATATATTGAGCTTTGTATTTCCCTATGGGCACTGTTTGCAGTGTTTTGTTTTTGTTGCCTACGAGATGGTAAAAAATGAATTCCACTCTCTAAATAATAAATCTACAGGAACAGTGTTTATATGAAAAGGTGAGAGCAGGGTATCAGGGACTCACAGGAGGTCCGGGAGGTCCCTGAGGTCCTTTTGGTCCCAGCAAACCACGAGGCCCCTAGGATAAAAAAGAAGGGAAATGAGAGTGAGAATGATATCACACCTGTGAAAGGATTGCTGAATTATTAAATACATTCAGCTAAATCAAGTTTCAAAATTATATTTCTGGAAACAACCCGACTTCCCAGGTGTCCTTGAGGACATTTGGGAAGTCATACTGCTACAGCTACCTCACAGCCAGACTGAGAGGGAAAGCTGAGATATCTCTCTTTTTTATTACACATTCACTCCCCACAGCTATGCCTATCAAACAATACTTGCTGTGCTTTGCCTCACAGCTACAGTTACCTAACAAGAGGTATTGTCCTGGCAATGGGAAACCAATGTAGCACACCCTGGTGGACAACATAATTCATAGCAGGAAAGGTTAAGGGCTTTCTGATGGTTTCTCCTTCTCTGGCTTTTGCCTGTCTGCGGGGAACATCTTGCCTACCTCTCAAGACTGAGAGAGTGGGAGGCTATGATGTGAGCTGCCTACATTGCTCACGTCCAGAGGTGTCTTTTAATCAATATTGTGCTAAAAAATCTCAGTTTATATGAATATCAACAGTGTCTACAGTCTGCAGGTGATATATGATATCATCAGACCAGATGATTGTTCACTAACATAAAGACAACACGATGCCCTCAGCTCTCTCATACAGTATAACGTCTACAGGTAAGACTGAAGGTGATCACTCACTGGTTCACCAGGAAGTCCTCTGGGTCCAATCTCTCCATCATCTCCCTGCGAAAAAGAGAGATCCAATCAGAGTGTGGAACAGAGAGTGAATGATAATGGAGGAGAAAGTGAGGGTGTGTGTGTTCAGAGGAGCAGAAGATCATGAAAAGGCACAAAGAAAAAGAAGGGGAGGATGGAATCAGGTTGTATCAGCTGCGGGTAATGAGGATGGAAAGGAGATTAGAAGCAGATTAAGGTGTGCAGAGATCAAAAATTATTAAGGAGCAAATTGAGTGAGAAAGGGGAGGCGTGCAGAGCAAGTGGCAGGAAAATTCAGATGCTGACACAAAGGTGAGTTTGGTAAGAGGAAGAAGTCCAACTTAAGGGTCATTTCTCACTGGTTAGAGGTTAAGATACCTCAGGCACAAGCATACACTTCTTTTGTTCTATTACCCCTCTATCTAAACAAAAATAGCAGAAAAAGAAATGTGTGAAATGTTTACCCTCTCTCCATCCTCTCCAGGAGCACCAGGAGGCCCAGAGGGGCCAGGTTCACCCTGTAAAAACAAACATTTAGCTTTAACAGTGGAGCACATCAAAACAAATGCACTCACTTGCACATGCAAAAAACAAGCAAACAAAAAAAACCCACTTTTATAAAACCACACAACAACTTACTCTGTGTCCTTTTTCACCAGGAAGTCCAGCCAAACCATCAAACCCTCTGTCTCCCTGAAGAACAGAAATGAACAGTTTGAGTTCCTCCTGTCCGGGCTTCAGAAGTCTACATTTCATGAAATATGTTGCAACAAAGACATAAAACGTTAGGAAGGGATGACTATGATGGACAAGGTACCTTAGGTCCAGACTGTCCAGGCATGCCTCTGGCACCATCGGCTCCAGGACGTCCCTGTTAAGGAAAAAGAAGCAGTTGCAAGATAGTTAAAAGATAAGTAGGATCCCTGCAGACACACTGTGAGGACTAGAACATACCTGGCTTACATATAGTCTGACTGTCAGAAGGTATGATGTATAAGTTACTGTTCACAACTTAGGTCGTGTCACTCTTACCCGTCTGCCAGGCTTTCCAGAAGGTCCAGGGGATCCCATAGGTCCACGAGGTCCCTGAAACAAAAACACAAATGCATTTTTTTCTGAAACTATCTAGGACATAATATACTAAAACTAAAACAAGAAAAGTTTCCTATTACTCTGCTTCCAAAGGCTAAAAAAGCAAGTTTTGCATAGATTAGCTGTTTCTGTTATGTACAAAAAAATCAAATGTACTTTTTTAACATCTCATACCTGAGGTCCTGCCTCTCCAGACTCTCCCTTCAGTCCTGTGACACCAGGAGGACCCTGAACAGAAATAAAGAACACTGAATGAACACTAAACCATTACAAGTTTTCAGCTCAGCTACAGACTGTTTGTTGGTATGTTCATTTTGTTTATTGGAAACTGCACTGCATACCAGAGGGCCGGGTCTGCCAGTCAAACCCATTGGACCTGTAGGACCGCGCATAGCCAGCTGAACATAGGGAGGAAAAGATTAGCAATCACACAACAAGACAAAGAAAGGAATATAAAAAAGACAAAAAAAATTTTTTAAATGTTGTACATTTTGCTAATATATCATTAATATTGCATATTTAGCCACTTGTATGTGTTTGTGTGTGTACTGCAGGTATCTTTGTGTCTACTCATGTGTTCTGTGTGTGAATGTGTACATGAATTATGCATGTTTATGAGAAACATGCCGTAAAATTCAACAATGATGCATGAAAAGCACTATAGTTACAAAAAGCACGTGTTAAAATAATAATAATAATATTTAAAACAGTTCATGTAAAATACATTATACAAAGTATCATAAAAAGGTTTAGCTAGACAAAAAAAATAAGATTACAGAGACAAAATAAGACATATTACAACAGACAAGACTAATTTGGAGAAAAGGAGGATGACACGGTATATGATAAACTATTGACTAGTGCAGTGTGATGATGTGTTTCGGTGTGAACTGTTACCCTGGCCTGCTGCATGATGGCTTGCATCTGGGCCTCCTGTGCTGATACAGCAGGTCCCTTTTGTCCAGAGTCACCTCCAGCACTGAATCTAAACTATGAAGGGAATCACAGGTTATGAGACTTCACCTCAGTGGAAATTATTCCAGCACAAAAATCAAAAACAGAGAAACATTGGGAATGATTAAAATACTGATTTATCTCACCGCAAAATTAATATTTTAGTTTAAATATTGACATCTATTTCCAACAATAGTGTCTATATTTCTTTTATATAATGTCCCTCAAAGGCTGCCTGTGCAAATGACGAGCTTCCAAATCTACTGGCATCTGGTGGTGGTGAGTCGGTATTGCACCGTAAGAAAAAATCCAGGTTTGAGATGCAAGTCAGATTTGTTTGGGCCAGGGATCTTGGCTTGGGTTACACTCCACAGTCCTCAGGAGGCTGACTGCCAGTTGGTTTACAAATGCTCATCAACAAAACAGTGAAATACTGTGCAGAGTTTCATCATCACAGAAACACTGTTACCAAGAAGGAAAATAAAACAGTTGATTCAGAACATCAGCTCTACTGCAGCTCATCGACCACAAACATTCTTCTCCAGATCACAGTATTTTCACTGTTTGTGTCCACCCATCTGTGAGTTTATCGGTTTGTCTTTAATTCTTTTTGTCTTCATCATTTTCACACTTCTGTTTCACGGCTTTACTGACATCATCATCATCAAACCTTGAACAAAATGGTCTGCCACATGAATATGTTCATCAGCAAGGCTAAGAACAATGGGAAATACATTATTGTTTCATGCAACACTAACTCACAATACAGCAGATCTTCTCTAGAAAATAACGACAAGATCCATCACTAGCGGATAAACACAAGTGGACCTTTAAGCAAAAATCGCCATTTAATCCCATTATGTCGATTCCACAGTTTCAACACCACGTGCCAAAATACCATCTGGTGAAACAACAATGCATGTTTCTCATTAGCCTTGGAGCTTAAGGATCAAGTTTCAAGTCAGGCTTTTTTCCAGTGGATATACCAGAACAACTCCAGTTCCTGTCCAGAGCGCGTGCCACATGGCTCACCCAGACAGGTCCACGGACCCTGAAACCACAACTTCACACCAGTACAACTAATCAGGTCCGACAGCAGTGGTGACAGACGAGGAAAAGAAACGTAGGCAGCATACGACGTTGTTAGGAAGGGTGCATTAGTGTTGCAGTTGAATCACCGGATGCAGTTGAAGCTACAAAGAGATGATTCTTGGGAAGCATTGCTACGCTTCCTGTCTAAAGCTACATGACTTCTTCGAAGAATACACGATCTCTTAAATTTGGGCTAAAGGATGTGGAATAAGTTAAACATCTGAGGGTAAATTCAGCCCTATAATGTATAGGTTTGAGTAAGCATGACAGGTGACAGAGTAGGGGGGGGCTGGCTCACTTACTAAACACACCACAAGGGGCTGCTAGAGCACAGAGTTACTGTACATTAAAAATGTTTGTAACATTTGTTAGGGTCAGGACCACCAAAATCTTCTTTCAAAGGAACCCCTTTTCATGCTGCTGTAAACCACGTGTCAGAGTTATTAATAAAACAGATAAGGATTCATCATACTTGGCTTTAAACAGGGAAAATGTTTTAGCACTTTAATCGGGGTAGAAGCATGCAGTGCTTCCTATTTTGTTATTTTTAGCAGTTTCAGTTTTAGTTTCAGTTTTGTTTATTTTGGTCTTTAAAACAAACAAACAAAGCAAAACAAAAATAAAACAACTGAATCTATATACAGACCGATACATATTCATATGAAAATTATATTTACCAACTATATGTATGCACACACACTCACTGAAATTTACTTACAGGCAGCATAAGGACAGTGCCAGTGGGTCCTGGCAGACCATCGGCACCAGGAAGACCAGGGCGACCTGGAAGACCCTTAGATAGAAAACAACACACACATGAGTACATGCACAGCAACAGGTGTGATCATCTTCTGAACTTCTACAGCTTTGAAAATCAAAGTGACATGTACAAATTTATCCTCACCCTCTCTCCAGGATCTCCAGGACTGCCTGGTGGGCCAGAAGCACCTGGGGGTCCGGGGAGACCCTATTTTAAGCAAAAGATCTTATTTGACTAACACGTATTCATACATAATTTACCACAGTCATCTGCAGCCATATCTGCTCCGCTAAAAGTTCTCGCCTTTATCTTGCAAAGTAGTCACACATGGTAGAAAGGAATGCATGAGGCAATATGGGACGGCTTTCTGAGCCACTCTGCATTTCTCTATAGCTCAACACTTGAATGGCTGGCGTCTGTGAGACTCCATCTGCAGAGTGTCAAGAAAAAGCCTGTGTGAAAAAAATCTTCCCAGATAAACAATTAAATTCTCCAACATCTGGGTATGTCCACATCTTTTCAACTGAACTGTTTTTGGCCACTCCCTTTGCATTAGAAATCAGGCTTTTCAGGATTTTCACAGCAAAGTACTAAAACCTACATTTTGCAACATAAACAGACTAGAAGAATGAGTGACATCAACTGTTATCATCTTTATTTATTAACAGAGATCACAAACAAAAATGCTAGTGACTCAGAGTTATAGAGGGAAAAAGAGGACAGACAGGGGCAAATAAATGAGGAAGAGAAAAAGATTCAGAGTGACAGAATCTGAGATAGACTGACTTACTGGTGGCCCTTCAGGCCCAGACGGACCCTCCACTAACATTCCCTGAAACACATAAGCACAGAAGTCATTGGATCCCCACAAATATCTCACGGGCTCATTCTTCAAGTACAGGTTTGTGTGCACCAGTCTCAGTGTACAGATGAACCCACAGGCATATGCTGTATCCATCAATGCAGAGCTTTGGATAAGCATACATGAATACATCTCCCAACACATGCACATATCAACTTTCCATCTTAAAGTCTTAATGCACATTCCTGCCTGTCATTTCAGTTATGCTTGAAATGAAACCATGGAGAACAGAAGGTTGAAAGATCGCTGAGACACGAAGGCGAAGATGCCCTCAGGTGTTCTCAGACGAGTTAAGGGAGGTTCCAATAAAATGTACCAAATCTTAAAGTTGGTTACGCTGGTGATCATGCATGCAACATAGTTTTAGCCATGTGTGTGCTTTGAAAATCAATTTATTCACTCAATTAACTTATTAATTCTACCATATAAACTATGGCTAAAAACAACAAACTATCTCAGGCTGGTGTGAAGCAGCATCTGACCCACAGATGCATCGTTGCAGCTCTGTGTCCACAGAGCAGCTGCTTGGCTTGTTTGCTCTTGTGGTAACACTTAAGCTGCTTTGTTATGAGGACAGGAACCCACACATTTTCCAAACTTATCTAAATTATGTGATCTCAGTGTGCTCTTCCTATCAGCCCCCAGGCTGCATCCTCTGAGTGTTTTCATTATAAAAAAAAACTAAACAAACAAACTGCAATTGATCCTTGACACCGCCCGGGTGAAGTCGGTGTTCTGCTGGCAGAATGCGCTCCTAAAAAGGTGTGCGCTCATGTTAGTGCATGACAGCATCTAGTGTATCTCAGCTTTTTACATGTTTACAAGACACACTGGATGGTGATGCGTACTCAGACTGGTTGCTCTCAAACACGCATACACAAAACGATCATCTAGGAAATGGATGTAAAACACACACTCTTTTCTGCTCTCACGTATAAACATGAAGACACTCAGTCAGAGGCATGTATACTTAGTGAAGCTCACTGACAGTTGTTTGAAGTGGAACAGCTGTACTTATATTGGAAATATAAACTCCTTCTGTCTGATCTGTGCATCTTTGCAAGAGGAGTCAACCTCATTTTCACAGTGGTACCTGTATATACGAGGTTGATGTACACTTATGTGTATTTAGACAAAGCCTACAGTTTTTGCTTTTGTTTTCCTTTGTTTACACACTACCCACACTGTGTTTAGAACTGACTGACAATCTCTGCATGGCCTTTCTTCAGATGTTTATGTTGTGGTCCTGCTCACCAGCCAGGAGGCAGAACTTTCCCAGGGATGCTATGAAAAAGTCCAGTAGGGCCTGTTTGGCCTCAGGATTCTCATTCAAAAGTAAGGGGTGGGTTGTGTTTAAATGTGGATCACACATACTCCCAGATATAAACATCCATGGATATGCCTGTATGCATACAAGTGCATGTGGCCTACATATGTTGCTCAAAATAGTGATACTCACAGGCTCAATAACAGCAGGCTCTCCCTTCTGTCCCTTCTCGCCACGAGCACCATCGACCTACACACCAAACACACAGACACAAACATAATCAGCTCATCTCCTGATGATCACCATCATCATGCTATTCTTCTCATCTTCAAAGATCATGTCTTTGGCAGTATGTCCTTCTGTTATTTTTCACCTGTCCATAATACTCATCGGTCTGAGCAGGAAGCACGTTGCCTTCTTTGTCATTGTAATCCAGGTCTGAATAGTCTCCATAGTTTTCTAAATCGCCATACTCGGTGAGTTGTTCCTCCTTGAACCCGTCTAGGTCAGTGTAGTCACCCTCATTATCCAGACCGAGACCTGTTTCGGTGGACCTCCTGTCTCCAGTACCAGCGCTGGCCGATCCACCTCCAGCAGTAGAAGATCCTCCCACAGACACAGAACCTCCTCCAGCAGACCCACCTCCAGTGGTGATGGTAGAACTACCGGTGCTGCCTCCTCCACCACCAATGTGAAGTGTACCGCTGCTACTGCCGCCAGCTCCACCTCCACCGCCTATGTGGACTGTACTGTCGCTGCCGCCACCGGCTCCAACCCCGCCACCGCTGATGTGCACAGTGCTGCTACTACTGCCTCCAGCACCATCAGTGTGAACTGTACTGCTGCTGCCTCCAGCTCCATCAGTGGTATAATAGTTGTTGTCACCATATTCATATGCACCGCCGTAGTCATCATATGAACTTCCCACCTATTAAAACATAGATATAATTATAAAGATACAATTTTACTGGATTAGATGAGAATCAGTCATTCAAAGGGCTGTTGAGCACACAGAAATGCAAGCGGGAATTGAAGGGGTGTTCCTTGCATTGGTCAAAAGCATAAAGTGTGAAATTTGTAAGACTGTTTGTATCAGTTCCAGGCAACTGCCAGTGAAGAACTTCCAATGTAAACTAATAACCTAAATAACCTAAAGAAAAAACATTGCATTTTGGACCTGTTAAAATATACATGTAATATACTAACCCTGCAACTAATTGATTTTATTATTATTTTCAGTATCAATAAACCTGTGGATTATTATTTAAAATGTCATGAAATCCTGAAAAATGCCCATTTCAAAACCCTAAAGCCCCAAAGTGTCATCTTTAAATGTGTTTTTCCCCAACCAACAGCCCAAATCCAAAGTTAGTGAACTCACTATTACATACTGTAAGACAATTTAGACAGTGGAATTAATTGACACACAGTTGCAGATTCATCTTCCTTCAGTAGACTCAGTGACTGACTGACTGTTTCAGTACTACTGCCTACAGTTAACAATGGACAATACTACAGTATGTGGCCATTTTTAAATGTATCTAGTATCAAACAGGCTTTACTTGCCCCATGTGGATGAGTGGATTCTAACACAAGGAAAGGGTCCCTGCTTATGTACAGTATCTCACACATTCATATAAGTGCAGATGGGTCTCACTTGGAGTATGTAATGAAGTAAAGAATAAGATTAAATATGTTTTAACAGTGAAAATTTAATCTTTTAAATCTACAGGTCACGCCATCACCAATTAATTGAGGAAGTCAGTGTAATTAATGTCAACCTACTGATGTTTTATTGTTGGAGATGACTACTGAAGGTCCTCCTGCACTGGTGATGACACGCCTTTCAGTTCCAGCCCCTGTACTCAAGTCAATATTCCCTCCTGCTCCTAGATCCAGCTCACTCCCGAAGTCAGTGCTAGTGATGGTAACACGTCGAGAGGTGTCACCATCAGGTGCCGCTGTGGGCTCGGTGTCGTACTCGTAGTAGTTGCTGTCATAGCCGTTTTCCTCTCCATAGTTGTATACATAATCGGTGGCATTGCCAGGTGAGCTAGTGGGGACTTTGTCCTCAACACCCCTCACAACCTTCTTCGCTGCAGACACCACACTGTCTTCATCTGTCACCTGTAAGGCGCACAGGATAATGTTATTGGTTACTCTGGTGCATTTAAAATAAGATTATATTTACGTGATTAGGCCATCTGGGTCAAAACATATAACGGTAGACTACTTTGACATCTCCTGTGGTCGTCTCAGTGTCAGTGGTTGATTTATGAGGCTTCCCTTCCAAGTCATCATAGAAGGGATATTCATAGTAGTAGTTGTCCTCCTCTGTGGGCTGCTGTAGAGAAACATTACTCAGAGAATTAGAGTGTGACTCAGGGAGAAACAATAGCTAATCAAATATTTAAAACATGAGTTTCAAATATGATCTACTACTCTGTTGGTGCTGGCTGATTCATATATGTGGAAGAGGCTGGCCATCGATCAGGAGCACAGAGGAATGCCTTCTACTCATGGAAACCTCATACTTTATCTCCCTGTTGCAACCTGTTGCAGAATGTTAATGACAAATTGCTTTTCCATAGCTTTCTCAATGAATCAGTGACTCATCTTTGTGTATCCTTCAGGCGTACAGGGCGGCCCCAGGGCAAAGGAAAGGTCAGGATGAAGGGCCTCCTGTCCATCTCGCAACATTTCTTTGACACAGCTTTAACTAGCATGTGCACAGTGTCTTGGTATTCATGGTGCTGGGAAGCAGGCTTAGGCAGGCACCACATCATTCCTGAACATTATTAACTGCAGAGCTTGATAACCCTGCTATTCTCAGTAGTTGCAGCTCTCTTGCATAAGCCTAGAGACTCTTTTCAGCACAGATTCCAATCTGAATATTATACAGAATACAACGGCGAATTAAGTAAAATTTATTTCCTTGAGCGAACTCAGCCCTGACAACACTCGATGGTTCTCTTGCTGGTTACAGTGCCCAGCATTATACAGTTTGTAAAGATCCACCAAAAACACTGCACCTCTAGCAATAGGCAGCCTTGTGTTTACAAAACTACACTGCGATTTACAAAGAAAATACTGGAATGATAAAAACTAAAAGCTGGCAAGAAGAAAGGTCATGTTACTCACATTGTCATCAGTTTTGGAGTCCTGGTTCTGGGGCTGGTCGAGCACTGGCACTTCACAGTCGGGGCTGTAGCGCTCACAGTAGTCATAGGCAGCACGATGGTCTGCTACAATCATTAGCTGCTGGATGTCTCCCTGGTAACCATAAGAAACAGGAAGTCATGAGACTCACGGGACAGTTACACACCAAACATGCACATAAACAAGCAAACAATTGCAGTGACAAAGAGGGAAGTCTCACACTCAGTGTCCCATGGGGAAAAATGAAAGAATATAAGCAAATAAAGATGAGGGAGAACATCTGTGTGCAGCATTATCACATGCAGAACAAGCTGTACTGAAACTAGGTCAAGCCAGGGGAATCTAAGAGTGACTAAAAGATGAAGAACTTTGTCTGGGGTCCAAGAGTGCCGTTTCACATCAGAGTTAAGCACAAGAGTGTGAGAAAAAAGCAGTGTGGAGTTACAAGAAAACATGGAACAACTGACTTCATGTAGCTGCGGACAAAGACACAAACACACACACACACACACACACACACACACACACAGAGAGAGTGCAGCTTTAACAACATGGATCATTTTAAACGAAACACACAAGCCCAGCCCCAGATCTAAATGGGACATGAGTGATTTTGCCCTCGAGCTGAATCTATAAGACGAATGGACTATGGAGAACATGAGCAGACGTGCACTTACAGAGCGCTGACCTGAACCATTTGACTCAAAGGAGAGTGTGCATACCCTAAGGCAAGATGACAGAAACTAACTAAAGAAACAGAACAGAGGAAAGTGATAAAACAAGAGCAAGAGAGAGCAAGAGAGAGAGATAAAGGCTCGGAAGGATCCCCAGACTACATGGGGAGCTGGGTGTGTGTGCTTGCCATATTTATTTATTTATTTATTCTTTCAAGCATGTAAAAACAGTTGATATGTCAACACACATAATTTTACACATATCCAACAAATGCTAATCCAATATCAATGTGCTTATACCTAGTACATGCTTGAATAGAGCAGGAAGAAGTCAGACTTATCCAGTCCTACCCCATGACATCATCTTACCATCATTGGTTTGCAAGCAGTATCTCTACATAGATAATTCTCTACTACACCACACAAATAATATACTAAAGAATTATTACAAAGTGTTAACATTCATACACCACACCCACAATGTTCCATCTAATTAATCATTAAGCCTGTTCTTGCATATATCTTGATTGACACATACCTTTATATTTATGTTTAAACTCATCAATTCTATTACTATTTTTTATGTCCACACTTAAATTATTCCATAGTTTTACCCCACTTATGGAAATACAAAATCTTTTTTTGGTTGTACGTATAGCATGAATTTTTAAATTTAACTGACCCCTTAAATTGTATCCCCCATCCCTTTCATTAAATAGTTTTTGAATTCCACCAGGTAATAAATTGCTCCTGGCTTTATACATAAACACTGCAGTCTTA